GTCAAAGGTGACGTCCTGAGACGCAAAGACACGGTGCGAGGTGGGGTCGTAAAACTGCCAGCCAGGCGCGTCAGGAGGAAAACCAAGGAAGACGCAGGGAATGGCGCGAGCAGAGAGCTTGTCCGCGGTGAGATCGCGGACAAAGGCACGAGCACCCCAGACCCGGAAACGCGACACATCGCCAACCTCCCCCGTCCACAGCAGTGTGGGCGAGGTCTCCGGCAAGGAGACACGGGGCCAGAGGTTGAGCTGATGCGCGGCGTACCGGACCGCGAACGGCCACAGAAAATGGGGAGCCGCCGCATGGATCATGGAGGTACGAGCGACCTCCATGACTAAGCCAATGCGGCGCTCAGCAACCCCATTCTGTTGCGGAGAGGCCGGAAGCGTGAACGACTGGGTGATGCCGTGCTCCGCACAGAAGGCTGCCAAGAGGTCAGAGGAGAACTCACCACCTCTGTCAGAGTGCAGACGCAGGACAGGAAAGTCCCGCTCGAACCGCTCGCGGAGCTGGAGACGCACAGCGCGGATCCAGGGGATCAAAACAGCAGGGACGTCTCCCTTGCTGCGCAAGGGGAAGACCGTGGTGTAACGCGTGAAGTCGTCGACAACCAGCAGAAAGTACCGCTCACGGCCCTGTCCCTGGACGCGGGCTGGGCCCCACACGTCCAGGTGAAGCGTCTGCAGGGGAGCCTCTGTGGGAGGAAACGAGGAGGAGTGAGGAGCGGCGCGCTGCCGCCCCTCGACGCAGGGAATGCAGGGCGGCGCAGGCGAGGGAGGTAGGGCAGGCAGAGACCTGGGAAGCCCAGAGACCAGAGAGCGAGAGTGCATGCTACGAAGGCGAGGCAGGGAGGGGTGACCAAGGCGGTGGTGCCACAGGAGCGTGTCGTGCGACAGGCGGCGGCACTCACACTGGGTAGCTACCTGAGCAGACGCGTACAGCTGCGGAGACAAAGGAGCGGAGCGTGAAACAGTGGTGAGGGTGTACAGACTGGACCCCGGCTCACGAGTGAACGTGGCCAGGTGGCGGCCAGTCTTGGAGCACGTACAGATCGCCACACGCTGCCCTCCAGGAGTCCAGGTGTCAACCCAGTGATCCTGGAGGACGGCGTTGCTCACCAGGTTCGTAGAGAACGAGGGAACGAGGAGACCTGACAGCTCACCAGACGGGACCGCCGGGCACGGGAGCACAGTCGTGCCGCGTGCAAGCACTGGGCCCCCAGAGGGGTCAGCCAGGGAGACAGGGACAGGTGCAGGGAGCGGAGTGACGGTGGTGCTATCGCGAAAGAAACAGCGGGAAGCACCAGAGTCAAGTGTAAACGTGTGCAAGGCCTGAGCCGACGCAGTACCAAGGGGAGCAGACTCACTAGCACCTAGGGCTGCAGTCCTTATACCGGGGTCAGGCGGCACACACAAGTAGCAGTCACCCTCAGCACTAACAGTCAATGCATACATGGCAGCAAGAATAACATCATAGTCCAGATCAAAGATAGGCACATCACGCCTAAGCAGCTCTGCCCAGTTGGGGAACTCAGTAGCATCAGGATACTTAGTACGCCAGGCGTCACTAAGCCTAGCAAAACAACGATACTCAGTGTGAAAACCGTTGCAGGGGCGACCCTTGCGGGGGCCAGTACGAATGACATAGGGGCAGCGGTCAGAACCCCGAGACGCCCCACGCCCAGCATACCAGTCATTGAGCTGCTGGGAGGTGAGGGGAGGAAGCTGCTGGGAGGTGAGGGGAGGAAGCTGCTGCTGCTGCTGTGGCTGTTGCTGCTGCTGCTGCTGCTGGCCACCCTTCTGGCCAGATCCACCCCCACTCCCACCTCCACCGCCACTGCCGCTGCCTCCTCCCCCACCACCGCCGCCGCCGCCTCCACCGCCCCCGGTCCTGCCGCCACCCCACCCACCGCCTCCACCCCCACGGCCACCCCCACCACCTCCACCACCCCCGCCGCCTCCACCACCGCTCCCTCCACCGCCACCTCCGCCACCCCTGCCACCCTTGCCGCCCCTGCCACCACCACGCTTCCCACCAGGAGCGGAAGCCGCTGCGACCTTCTCCGCACCGAGGAAGTCGACAGCAGTAGCAGCAGAGGCGTAGGAGGGGTCAAGAGGGGAGGGGGAGCACCCCTCAAAGAGGGGAGTGCGGGGAGTGCCACGAGCAGCACCGACAGCGAGGATGTTCTTCTCTGCTGCGACCAGCTGCTGCTCGAAGTCGTCCAGAGTGATAGTTGGAGGATCCTTGGCAAGGAAGTAATCCCTGACAGAGCGAAGAGTGTCAGGGAGGCGGGTGACGAGGATGTAGAGGGTGAAGTACAGCGGGGGGGTGTTCGTGGCGAGGAACTCGTTGGTAAGAGCGGCTCGAAAGCGGGCGTCACTAGCGCGGAGGTGAGTGATAAGGTCGGCAGCAGTGTGAAACGAGGCTAAGTCTGGGAACAGGTAAGGCAGGATGAGACTACCAACGGTGGCTGTGGTCGGGGCGGAATAGCGGGCAACGACAGCATCATACAGCGTCTTAGCAGTCTTAAGCTGGTTGAAATGCGCGCGCTCAGAGATCGGTAGGTGATTGCGAATAACAAGGCGCGCGACAGCATCGCGGAGCTCCCACTGTGCTCGTTCAGGGGCAGGAGCAGTCTCAGCAGGAGTAGGGACAGTGCCGGTCACATAGGCTAGCAGTGACACTCCGTCTGCGACGTCAGTCATAAGATAAAGGCGCAGGTCACTAAGCCAGGTGTCAAACTCGATGGGGCGGCCGTCAGGCTCAAAGGCGAGAACAGTAAGGGTCGCCATGGTTGTAGCGCAGGCAAAAGTAGCAGGCTCAGGCAGCAGGCTCAGGCAGCAGGCTCAGGTAGCAGGCTCAGGCAGCAGGCTCAGGCAGCAGGCTCAGGCAGCAGGCTCAGGCAGCAGGCTCAGGCAGCAGGCTCAGGCAGCAGGCTCAGGTAGCAGGCTCAGGCAGCAGGCTCAGGCAGCAGGCTCAGGCAGCAGGCAAAGACTGCAGGTTCAGGCAGCAGGCTCAGGCAGCAGGCAACTGTAGCAGGTAAGGAAGCACGCAGTTCTGTGACAGGCCGCGCGTAAGGCAGGTAAGCGCACGACTCACGGGCGGCTAAGCGCTCAGGTCGAGGCAGTGGCGCACAGGCAGGGCAGGGCACGCGCTGCTGCGGGCTGCGCGCGGCAGCGGGCTGCGCGCGGCTGCGGGCTGTGCGTGGCAGCTGGCTGTGCGCGGCGACGGGCTGCGTGCGGCTGCGGGCTGCGCGCGGCGACGGGCTGCGTGCGGCTGCGGGCTGCGCGTGGCTACTGGCTGCACGCGGCGGCGGGTCGCGCGTGGCGGCGGGCTGCGCGCGGCGCCGAGCTGCGCGTGACAGCAGCGAGCACGCGGGCGGCTAAGGCAGCGGGGCGCGCTAAAAAAAAAATGCACGCGCGCATGCAGCCGAGGCGCGCGCGGGCAGCAGGCAAGGTAGGCACGTAGGTATAGCTGTAGGGAAAGTAACTCATGAGTAGGTGGGCCCCAATCTTAGGTCCTTAGGACCATTGCTCTAGATGCCATGTTGAGATAGCTAGGCAAGGTGAGGTTCACTATCGAGAGAAATTTTACAAGTAACACAACCCTAAGGAATTATCCCCTATAACATCTACCCCACTACAGCCTACCAATATGTATCACACATATATATCATTTGACAGCTGTAGCAGTGGGAGACGGAGGAGGAGGAGGAGTAGGGGACGGTTCACACATCCGCCACCCCCATACTCGCCACCCCCATACCCTAAACGCAGGCGGCACGCGCACGGTGCGGGGCAGATATACGGGCAGCAGCTGGGGCGGCGTGCGAGCGGAAGCGGGGCGGCGCGCGGATCCCTGGGGCGCTTCGACGGGCGACGGGCAGGGCGGCGCGCGGGCCCCCAGGGCGCCGCGACGCGCAACGGGAGGGGGCAGCGCGCGGGCCCCCAGGGCGCCGCGACGGGCGACGGGGGGCGACGCGCGGGCCCCCAGGGCGCCGCGACGGATGACGGGAGGGGACGGCGCGCGGGCCCCCGAGGCGCCGCGACGGGCTACAAAACCGCCGCGCGCGCCCGGGGCGCGCGGCGGGCAGGAAACCGCCACGCGCCCCGAGCGCGTGGCGGGCAGAAAACCGCCGCGCGCTCAAACGCCACGCGCGCAGGGCGCGCGGCAAGCAGAAGACGTCGCGCGCCCGAGGCGCGTGATCGGTAGAACAGCAGTGGAAGCTAACTGTGGGCCCGTCTACAGGATCGACCAGGGAGAGTCGACCTGTTCTGATAGCATGTCAAAACAGTAGGCAGAAGTTTAGAACAGAAAAGAGGGTTTGCACTAGTAGGAAGTTGAGTACATGTAGTAAACCTTAATTTGGGGTATACTTGCGATAAAGTACCCCACTGCAGGCTAGACAAATATCACATTCTGACAGCCCGAAATTACCATGTACCGTAGTTTCATCGAGTAAGTGATTTCCGCGATGTTCTGCAGTACTCGCTAACAAATATAATAGAAACTTTGTGAGGGGGGGGGGGGGGGGTAATAGAAAATCACCCCAAAAGGGGGGTATAGTAGAAACGAGGTCCGCTATAGCACCCACCCCGCACAAGCCACCCGGGGGGTCTTCAATTTCGGCGGGTGGTATGTCCGGGTGATTACGGTACCTTGACTTTCTTGCATCAGATCATTACAGCTCCCTAGCAGGTCAAATATTCTACCTAACATTGAAAAGGGTATGCACTAACTAGCAATTTTTTAACTAGAAGCCAGCAGAAAGCATGCACTGTGTCTCCCAGTAAAACGGCCAAGACGCTGTGAAATATGCCTTCGCATGCTAATCATGCTAGCAACTGTGTAGCCCTTTCTACAGAAAGCATTGCACAAAGCACAAGCACATCCGAAGGCCCCATCTCAAACAGCACAAGTGTGGGTGCATGCATATCTGGTTTTGAACCCCTCCTCAACCTGCCGCCGCTCCACCGGCCCCCTCACCCGCGCCTCGCGTCTAAGCAGCAACGGGGCGCCACATGGTCTTCTGGAAACTGATCACCGAGCTGCCGGGGCGCCGGAACGCCTTCTTCACCTCCCAGTGCAGCTGCTTCGCAATGGCCTCGATGCGCGGCAGGTGCGGCGCCGTGTCGCGGATGATCACGTACCCCATGGGGCGCAGAATGCGGTCCATCTCTAGCATCACTGCCTCCACGTCACACCTGAGAGTGTGCGCACGGGCATGGGAAGGCAACACCGGAAGGCATGGGGAGAGGGAGTAAGAACAGGGGCGATGGGCGATGCGTCATGACATACCCCCATAGGGCGTAGAATGCGGTCCATCTCTAGCATCACCGCCTCCACGTCGCACCTGAGAGTGCGCATATGAGAGTGGGCACGGGAGAGTGCGCATACAGGATGGCACCATGGCACGATGCACCCCATAGGCTGCACGCACCATGCGGCCTGCCCATCACCAGCCCAAGCTCAAACCACCACAGCTGAAGCAACTCTCACCCAGCACCCCAGCAGCAGTCTCACCCAGCACACACAACCACAGACCCTCACGCGCCACACCGCACCGCACCACACCGCACCTGCTCCCTTGCATCATCTTCCCCAGCAGGCGGTCAGCGTGAAGCAGGTCGTACCAAGGTGCGCGGGTAGGTGTTGAAGGCCTCGCACCAGTCGTGGTACGCGCCCAGCAGCCCGCGGTCAAACACGATGGGCAGCGTGTCCAGCCCCACACTCTCACTCGCGTTCCCAACTGGGACTACATTCATGGTCCACAGCGGCTTGTCGGAAATGCCCGCGCCGAATCTGCCAGGGAGAAAGAGCGAAAGCGTTTGTCGGGGGGCAGGGGCGAGAAAGAGAGAGCGCAGAGGGGAGCAGAAAGGTTTCAGAAGGAGAGGTCGGGGGAGGGAGGGAGAGCAGTGGGTGGGAAGAGCAGGCAAGGTGCAAGGTGCATGGCCATGGCCTATGGGCTTGTTTCCTCTCCTCGTATCTCTCGCAGAGGTGCTCCACTCAACGCCATGCTGTCCCCCAGCACCATCACCACGCAGCACATGCCCCCATCCATGTGCTGTGGGCCCCACTTGCCAAACATGTTTGGTGAAACCGCCATTCACAACAGCGCCATCAAAGCACCATGCCCACTCACGCACACACCGCTTTGCGGTCACCCCCAAAGCTCCACATCCCCCACCCACAAACCCGTCGTAACGCCCGCATTTCCATCACCACAGGACCCCACAGAACCCTCCACCACCGCACCCCACCCTGCACCAACCCCCAGCACCGCACACCACCGCACTCACCCGCCATAGTGCGCGTCCATGTCCATGACGTTCCGCACCGTCGTCCAGTCCATGTTGAGGTGGCGCGAGTAGCGCTTGGTCTCGCGCTCCCAGAACTCAGTGTCCGCGTCAAAGTCCGCGGGGCCCGCCTTGCCAAACAGCCCGCGCGCCACCTCCGCCATGCGCGCGGGCGCGGTCACCAGTCGGTTGCGCCCCTCCGCGGGCCACGAGACGAGCGCCTTGGCGGAGGGTATGCGGTGCATGCACGCCTCCATTGGCTCGTACCTGGTGGGGGAGGGGACGGGAAGGGAAAAAGGAAACGGGGAAAGGGGAAAGGGGAACGGGGAACGGGGTCGGGAAAGGGAAATAGGGGATGGGCGAGGTGAGAGGGGAGAGGAGAGCGGGGATATCAGAGAAGGGACGGCGGCGAGGGGAGAAATTTGGGAAGGGAAAGTGCGAGGGTGGCGAACAGGTGAAGTGCAACATGTTCGGGCTGCATGGTAAAAACGAGAGGCGACGCGCTACGGGCACTGCCTTACCGCTCTAGCTGCCAAGTGGTGGCGAAAGTGGCAACCTCACCGCACTGCCCCTCGACACAGCCCCCATCACAACCCACAAACAACCCCACCGCACCACACCACACCGCACCCCGCCGTCGTGCACTCACCAGGCGGCGTCCGCGCGGTTGCCGTCGGGGCACATGGGCGGGATGGTCTTGCGCGGGCGCGCGTCGTAGCACTCGTTGTCGAGCGGCTTCTGCCACACGGCCACGCCGATGCCAAACTCGCGGTGCACCTTCTTCGTCAGCCGCTTCCAGCACATGTTCTTCGTCAGCTTGCGCATCGCTGACGGGCGGAGAGGGGAGGATAAGGGGCAGGATGGGGGGGGAGGTGGGGTGGGGTGGAGTTGGGGGAAGGTGCGGAAAGAGGGGATGGACTATTAGTGCCGCTTCCAGCACATGTTCTTCGTCGGCTTGCGCATCGCTGGCGGGCGGAGAGGGGGGAAAAGGCGCGGGATACACAGGGGCGAGGGGGGTGGGAGGGAGGTGGGGTGGAGAGAAAGAGAGGGGATGGATGCACAGAGGGGGATTGGTCTTGCTTCCAGCACAAGCTGTTCGTCCGCGCATCGCTCAAGTGCGGATGGATCAACCACGTGGGAGGGGGAACACAGCGCGCTGCACTGGCACTGGCGGGCGACGCGACGCGACGAGACTAACCCACCTACCGTGCCAAACCCCGGGATTCTCCGCTCCAGACTAAACCCCTAGCCATCGCGCCCGGGTCTACCCACCACTCCCCTGCACCCCCACCCACCGCTCCAAACCGCGCGACTCACCGCTCCAGATCTCCTTGTCATCAGGCTCCTTGGCGGAGCAGTGCAGGCACAGCGGCGTGGCGGACCAGATGAAATACCCGCCGGGACGGATCAGCCGGTTGAGCTCCAGCAGCAGTTTCCCGCCCTCGATGTGCCACGGCACGCGGCAGCGCGCGCAGTGGACCGCGTCGAACGAGTTCGCGGGGTACGGCTGGCGCTGCGTGCCCATGACGCCGACGAGCGCGCTCACGCCGCGCTCGAGCGCGAACTGGATCTGCGCGTCGTGCTCGTCCTTGGGCGCCACGGACATCACGCGCACGTCGAACGCGTCCAGGTACGCGCCGAAGCTCGCCACGCCGCACCCCATGTCCAGCACCACGCGCACGTGCTTGCCCCACGCCAGCTCCGGACACACCTGCGGGGGGAAGGGCGGGGGAGGAGGCGACGAGAGGGGAGGGGCGCGACGAGGGGGGAGACGGCGTAAGTGGGCGAAACGGGACGCGCTAGGAATTTAAGGGGAGTTAAGGGGTAGGCGAGGAATTGTGGGGGGCGTTGTTTGAGCCGCCTTGAGGCTCGCGCGCTCGAGGCGCCATTTTCTTTTCGAAATCTCGCCCGTATCTTTGCACGCTCCGACTTCAGCGTCTACCTCGACGTCTTCACATCCCCACCCATCCCCACCCTTTCATCATTCAAGTCCTTCCCCCCCACCCCAAAATTTTTCCCCCCCACTCCACCCCCCCAACCACCCTCCCGTGCGAGCGCGGCGCAGCGCGGCCCCACTCCGCCCCCCCAACCACCCTCCCGTGCGAACGCGGCGCAGCGCGGCCCCACTCCGCCCCAACCCCCAACCCCCCCCACCCCCCCGCGCACTCACGTCGTGCACCCATTCGATGTAGCGCGTGGCGCCGTACTTGAACTGCGTGCCGCCGCCCGGGAAGAGGAACTTGTCGCCGTCCGCCTTCACCCAGTTCTGGTCCGCCTTGTACGACGCCAACGACGGCTTCGGCACGTTGCTGTACCAGATCTGGGAGCACCAGCAGGGGGGAGGCGCGGGGAGGGGAGGATGACCCGAGGGGAGGATGGGGGAACAGGGTGGGGGAAGAGAGGAACGAGAGGGCGAGGGAGTTAAGCGGGTGTTACGGTTTTAGGCAGTTGATGTAATAGGTTTTATTGGGCAGGGAGGGGGAGATGGAGAGGGAAAGGTGGGGAGTGGGGGGGAGCTGGGGAAGAGCGGAGGTGAGCGGAGGTGAAATGTTATTCAACACTCGCCGCTCATCGCTCATCGCTCATCGCACGCGGCGCACGGCGCAAGGCTCACCTGGTCGCGGCTCTCGGGCCACGTGATGTGCGGCTTGTACCCGTCGGGCAGCGGCAGCACGCAGCGCGGCACCTCGTCCACGGCGGGGCAGTGCCGCTCGCGGTGCTCGTAGTGGCTCGTGCTCTTGAGCTGCTTCAGCGCCTTCTCGTTGTCCAGGCACGGGATGTAGTCGTCGCTCTGCTCTACGCACAGCGGATACGGCGCCACCGACGTCGGCCGCGACGCAGAAGCTTCCTCGCCGCGTTCTTCCCCATCCTCTTGCGCCTTCTCCGCCTTCTCCTCCTTCTCCGCGTCATCTTCCTCCCCCTTGCTCGCCGCGCCTGTCTCGGGAGTGTCGCCCGTCGCGTCGCTGTTCTCGGCGGTGCTGCTTTCCTGCGGTACACGCCGGGTATGAGGGGGATGCGGGGGATGCGGGCGATGCGGGCGATGCAGGGTGGGGGATGCGGAGTGTGAGCGCGTGCGCGTTCACCGCGAGTTACGGGAGGTTACATGTGTGATACTCGTCGCCCTTCACTTTGCGCTAGCTTCACCCTCATGGACTCTGACTGAACATGCAGCTCATACCGCATAGCCTCTGCTGCTTAGCTTACAGAGCATGGCCGCTTGCGCAGAGCACACAGCGCAGAGCGCAAAGCTTAGAGCACACAGCGCAGGGCGCAGAGCGTACCTCGGTGTCGGTCTCGGTCTCCGCGTGCGCCTGCTCCACCTTCGACTCCGCCGCTTGGCTCGGCAGCGACTCCGCCTGCGCGCAACACGGGCCCGCAGAGACGGTGTTTAGAAGCTGGCGGTCAACAGGCGTCGGAGAAGGCAAGACGACGGCTCAACTACTCGCGCACCAGACGGCGACATCGTAAGTACCATTGACTGTTATCTAGAGGATTCTCGAGCATTATTGATGATGTGCCAGCCTCACCTTGCTGTCGTCAGCAGGACCCTCCTTGCGGCTGGTCTTGCGCTCCACGTCAGCATCGCTACCGCCCAGCTCCTTTATCCGCTCCTCCACTTGCTGCAGTTCCGCCGCCACCTTCGCCTGCTCGCGCGCCTCCTGCGCCTTCTCCCCCTCGTACTGCGCCGCCTGCCTCTCCGCGGACTCCTCGCGCCGCTCCTCCACCACCACCGCCGTGTACACCGCATCGTCCGCTATGCGCTGCAATTGGTTGGATGGACTCTTTGCCTGGCGAGGAACACGTGGTCGATGCCGGCGTGGCGTAGCAGGGTGACGTGGAGGGAGTGACGTGGCGGGAATGCACGGAAGAGGCGGGATTTCCGGTGAAGGCACGGAAGGGGAAAGGGTGGGTGGAAGTTGAAAATAAAGATCTGAGAGCACACTGATACGAAGGATATACCATAACGAGCCGGTAGAAGGCATGTCATGCGAATGTCACCGAGCTCCATCCAACCACGACGCTCAGTTGATGCGGATCGTCTGCGTGTGCAAGGACCATTGCAAGAAAAACGGGAGATTCGAAAAATGAAGGCGTACCGGCGAAGTGAAGAGCCACATGGAGACGAGGAAGACGAGGACGAGCGCGAGGCTCGTGGTCAGCGTCGAATTCCCTCCCGGCGACGTGTAAGGCGACTTGCCCTTCCAAGAGTTGGTGGCGCCTCGAAAGGCCTTCACTAGCGCCTGCAACCCCATCCTGCGAACCAACGAGATCCCAGGCCGGCTCAACGGAACGGAACCTGATGCGAGTTCCCCTCAAAGATAAGAACAGCAACACTGGGCGTCGTTGCAACTGCGGTAGGGACAACGCCGTTGGCCTAAAGCTGTATCAGAACACGGAAGTTGATAGCTGAAGAATTTTTGCTGCTTTGGAATTGACTGCTGTCGGGAGGGCCGAATCGGGGAAGTGTGCCTCAGGGGTCAGGACCGAAGCGCGAGGTGCGGGGAGTAAGGAAAGCCGTGTTGGGAGCTCTGACTGACGGGGGACTATGGCATGGCATGGAGAGAGAGGTATGGTTTGGAAGCGAAGGCATCGGCGACTCCCGGACCAGACTTCCAGGCCAAACCGGACGAGATCAGAGGGTGTAAACATGACGCGGGAACAAGCTTCGAGTGGCAATAGTCGAACGAGGCTACACACTCCGAGCCTGTGTTCACGGTGTGTAGCCTGCGCAACAGGCCGCAAATGTCAAATCAACATCCCAAGTCTAGCGCGGCTCGCTCAGATCTGACCACGACAGACAGCTTCGGGCTTGGTTTTGGTGGGAAACATACGCTGGGCATGGGTCCAAAACGCCGTATGGTACGGCATGCTCCAAAGTCCCTTGTCAGACCAAATAGGCACGTCATTGGAGAATGAACGATCCGCAACTCGGCTTGTGGGTGAGGGAGGAACCAGCTCCGCTCATGAAAAACTCGTTACAAGCTATGTACATGTTGTCTGGTCGGTTGAGTGATCGCCCTTGCAATATATCTTAAATATCATTAAGTCAATCATATGAAGGTTGAACTCATATTCCCACATATTGTTTCCCCCTCAACCCATATAGTTTCCACATATTATTTTCCTTATCTCATGTCAACTTTTACAGAGCTTGACTTGGGCTTGCTCCAACCTCCGCTTGTGTTTCCAGAATGTTGTACCATATGCATCCCCTTATGGCATATAATTCTGCTGTAAATGCATAAGGCATTGCCTTGCCTTTTATTGAGTTAGCACAATCGAGTATTTGACAGGCATACCCAGACAAACAAAGCATTCCCTCCCAGACCAGATGTATTAGTTCTTCAGGTGAACCCAGCTGCATCCTCCTAGGTAAACCAGTACTCCCCTGCACTCATGTATCATCCAATAATATCACCCAGCCAGCTCCGTGGCTTCAAAAGCAAGAAAGGCCTAGCCCAACCTGCTGCTGCTTCTCTCCAGCAGTGGATGCCTTCCTTCCCAGTCCCTTGCCAGAGCTGCTGCTGCTCCTGCTCCTGCTGCTGCTGCTGCAGCGCATCATATGGTCCACAGCACATCCTCCGCTAGCATGTTCCACTCTCCGTTCCCCGCCTCTGCCGCCTGCCTCTGTCACCAAGCATGATCTGCGCTTCACTTTCTGTCAATCGCAGCCTTTTTCTGGATCTGAAACCTAGCGCGGACTTCCAACACTCGGCAGCTTCATATTGAGCCATATCCTCGCTTGCACTGTCCTCCCATTCCTCACCATCACTGCCAGTTGTGCTGGTTTCCTTGTGTTGTGCATAGGGCTCTTTCACTAGCACCACCTTCCCCCTCTGCTGCTTCTGCTGCTGCCGCTTTTGGTAATACGCTGCTGTCACCTCCACCACATCATCATCATCATCATCAGCAGCAGCAGCAGCAGCAGCGTCCTCTCGCTCCTCCTCTCGCTCCCCCGCTCGCTCCTCCTCTCGCCCCTCGCACTCCTCGTCCTCATCAGAATCATCGTCTGAAAGTGCAATCACTTCAATCACCAACACCTCATCCTCTTCGTCTTTCTCCTCCTCCTCCCCCCCCTCCTCCTCCCCTTCCTCCTCCCTTTCCTCCTCCTCCTCCCCTTCCTCCTCCTCCTCCTCCCTCCCCTCCTCCTCCCCCATTTTTCCTTCCTCTTTTTCTTCCTCCTCCACCACCTCCACCTCCTCATCATTCCCCTTACCCACCATTCCACCCACATCCTTACCCTTGTCCTCCTCCCCATCACAAACGCCTCCATATCCACCCTTCATTCTCAACGCACGACGTGCCATCCCAGATCTCCCCCTCCCATGCACATCCCCCACACCCGTTTCTCCTGCGCACCTCACTTCCTGAGCACGCCACTTTTCCCTACTGCCTCCTCCCGCCCACGTCCCCAGCCCAGGTGGCAGCTGAAAGTCCTTGGGCGATCCACACAGGTTGTTCGCTGCAAGAAGCAGAGGGTCAACCAGCGTGCAAGCCAGGGCGTGCCTGGTCCCACTCTCTCTCCCTCTCCCACTCCTGCTCTCTCTCTCACTCCCAGAAAGGCTGTCACCATTGCTGCCTTCACTCGCTGCTGCTGCAGCAGTAGCAGCAACACCCTTCGTTGCAAGCACCTCCACCACCTCATCATCAGCTTCCTCCCTTTCGCCTCCCACCACGTCTGCCTTTGGCTCACTGCGATTCCCCTTCCCCACGCGCATGCTCGCTGCCTTCCTCCCCTCCTGTGCGTGAGCAAGTGCCACTCGGCACTTCGCCAAGAGCGGCTGCTGTGACAGGGGCCCCCGGATCACACGCACCCGCTTGCCTCTCGCATGCTTCTCGCGGTGTGGCTGACCTTCCACATTCCCACGCATCCTCTCCGCTCCACTCCCCTTTTCAGTGTATGGCTGCACTGCCGTGTGCCTGAATCCCCGAACACCGCGCCCGGCTTCAACCGCATGCCTCCGTTTGCTAAACCTCTGAACCGCCGCTCCTTCCCTTTCCTCCACCCTCTCTTCCTCTTCCTCCTCCTCCTCCTCCTCCTCCTCCCCTGCCTCTGCGTCTTCCGGTATACCTCTCCGCCTCTCCTCACCCCTCCCTACCCTCCTCTCCCCTCTCTTCAATGGAATTCTCCCCTCTCCCTCTGTCAGCTTCTCTCCCCCATTGCCAACCTGCATCGCCGTCCTCCTTAACCCCCGCTGCCTTTCACGCCACGAACTTTCCACACCCAAAGTTTGCTCATCCTCCCCCACGCGCCCTTCCTCCGCAACCCAGACAGCTCCAAACACACGCCACACAACTTCCCCGGCTTGCCGTTCCGCCGCTCCCCCTTCTTCCTCCCCCTCGTGACCAGCCATGTCCCCTCCGCCTCCCAAATCCAGCGCCGCCCGCGCATCTCGAAGCGCCGTTGTACCGTAAGCATCTTGCGCATCTGTTTCCCGCTCATGCGCCCCGCCCGCCTCTTCCGCAAGCGAAAGCTGCGCTGCGGGAGCACATGGCGCGCGGAGGACAGGCGGAGGGAAAGAGGGCGACGCGGAAGAAGCGATGACCGTGCTGTTGCTGCTACTGCTGCTCCTGCTACCATCACCGCCACGTACTGCCTCATTGCCTGACGCTACCAAAGCGTTCCATGCGCTCGTAGGGTTTAGCGCGTTCCCACCCGTCGCATCCGTCGCATCCGTCGCATCTATCGCATCCACCGCATCTGCCGAACCCGTCGCAGCTGTCGCACCTGCCGCCGTCAAAGTAGAGGATTGCGACGAAGAAGAGTGGGCCTTGACCGCCTTCGCGCACTCGCACTCCATCGCACACTCGTCGCCCGGCGGGCACACCGGTTCGCAAACCCTCGCACAGCCTGCTACTTCTTCTCGCAGATCAAGCGCGGCGGACACAGCAACCCTCCCATCCCGTAACGCGCCGCTCTTTTCCAAATGACAAACCGGACCGCCCGCCTCTTCGGACGCGACTCGCGCCTTATCCCGCGATGCTTGGCTTGGCTCAAAGCCAACAGGGGTTTCTTCTAGCGATGGCGGTGTCTTCGCATGGCTGTCGGGTCTGGCTGGTGCCGCATCCGCTCTCTCCCCACTTCCGCCTGGCGGAATTCCGCGATCGCCGTGCGTAAAGAGCGCATCACCACACTCGCGCGGAGCACTCGCGCTTCCAGGGTTACGCGCTGGAATCTCCGGCGCGGCCGCCGCGTCCCCCCACCTCCCGTGGCACAGTCCCGCGCTCACCCAGTCTCCGCAGGAAAAGGCCGCCCGCTGCCGCCTTCTGCGCGTACGAACGTCGAATGACTGGGGTTCGGCGATCAGGTGGTGAGACTCGCATGGGGATTGAGCACGAGAAACTTTCGCGGTGGTAGGGTTGTGAAGGAATCCTTTCTGGCCAAATTCTGAACACGCGGGAGGGGTGCTGGTCGAAGCCCAGATGAAAACGTTGACAACTGGAGACTGATCTTTAGTTGTCATTGCTCCCTGTCATCACCGCGACACGGATAGCCTCCGATTAATCTACTAAAATAAACAGGGAAAACGCGTGGAATCAACAGCTCGAATTAGAAGCTTGGAGAGTCTTAGGATGTGCAAGCATAAATGCTGGATTCTGTTGTGCTGTGATCAGGCGAAAGAGCTTCATCATTTGTACAGTTTTCTGCCGTGGAAGCGGGAAAGAAAGCGGGAAGGTGTGGAAATAGAGCGGAGCTACTGTACTGCACAGAATGCAAAACTGTGGGAGTTGGGGGAACCACTCAGGGATTACAGTACTGTACATCCCTATCTTGACTCTCCCTCAAGGAAGCCTCGCTCGACTCGACTTTGACCCACTCTCGAGACTTTCGTGTCGAGGAAATTTTTAGGGGAGAAACCGAACCGCATAGTCACAACAGCCATCAAACCGTTCAAAAATTCTGGCACTGTTGAGGCTAGTGGTTTACACCGGTTGTGTCAAATCTACGTGGCAAATTCTGGTCGGTGGAGGGTTCTACGCCTGAGAGCTGAAGGCTCTGCCCTGCCAGCCTTGCTTCGAACCGTACGAGAGATAAGGCGGGAGGATTCGAGGCGCAAGCTCCTCAGGTACTGGAGGGGATGACAATGGCAGAACCACCTTTTTTTAAACGGAGTGTTTTAGTAGGGCGAACAGTGTTTTAGTAGGGCGAGTAGTGTTTTGTTAAACTAACATATAAATTGTGAAGTAACTATAGTGCTTCGCATTTCCCTACGCTCACCACCCTGGGGGCCACTTTGAGCCAAGACATGAAGGCATGCCATGCGGCAAATGCGGAGATGCGCGAACGCCCTCGGCTCAATCCCGTCCTTGACCAAAGAAGGCACATAGGAGAGGTCGCCGCCTCAAAGTCTCTGTCAACAACATATCGTCCTCCATCAACACCACCTGCTCCGATGACTGGGAGATATTGGCCACCGCAAATTTCATCTCAACGTGAGCATGAGACGACATACACCGGGTGCTTGCAACGGAACTCTTGATGCGGAGCTGCGTTCGCATACAAAAGGGTAAAGTCTGGATGAGCCGGGCTGTTGAAACCTATGCACCAGGCCCCGAACACTGGAGAGATGTGGAACATGTGAGAAGATAACGGAAGGCTTGGAGCTCCTCCATAGGCAACTGCTAACGCCGCGCATAAAAAATCGATAGTGTGGAACCATCATATATAGCTTGGGGACGGCGCTCGACTCATCATATAATCACATCCATTTCTTGAGGCACGGATCCCGCCTCATGCAATTCGAGACCCATCAGCTCCCCATAAAAACGCTGGCATATCAGAAAACGCAAATTATCTTGCAGTGGGAGGAGATTGCATCGTTCCTTGCCTCAGTAGTGTAAATGGTATGGGTACCGTGATGTCTTGTTTTTGTTATCAGAATGTGATGTTTGTCTAGCCTGCAATGGGGTACTCTATAGCGAGTACAGCCCAAATTAGGGTTTGCTATATGTACTCAACCGTATGCTAGTGAAACCCCTCTTTCCTGTTTCTGATTCTTGCCTAGCCTTCTCGACATGCTATCAGAGCAGGTCGACCCTCCTGGGTCGATCCTGTGGGTGGTCCCATCCGATGCTTCCGCTGCTGTCCTGCCTATCGCACGCACCGGGCGCGCGATGTTTACTGCCTGCCGTGCGCTCAGGGCGCGCGGCGTCTTTTATTCCCGCCGCGCGCTCGGGGCGCGCGGCGGTTTCCTGCCCTGTCGACCCGCGCGTCGCCCCCCGTCGCCCGTCACGGAACCCCCGAGGACCTGCGCGTTGTCAAACTATATGGGTTATCTTTGTGTAGGCTGTAGTGGGGTAGCCAATATAGGGTACATAACTGGTAGGGGTTTCATACTTGTACCCAACTCTGTTCTAGTTCAATCATTCCTGTCTCTAGTTTCTGACATGGTATCAGGGCAGTAGGTCCGTAGGACCGTTTTTTTCGGGCCCACCTACCGTTGTGGTTACTGAGCTGCCCCACGTGTTGCCTGCGCTGCGCCGCCCGCGCGCGCCCTGCCTTGCCTGCGCTGCGCTGCCCGCGCACGCTTTGCCTTGCCTGCGCCTTGCCTTGCCTTGCCTGCGCTGCGCTGCCCGCGCGCGCCTTGCCTTGCCTGCGCCTTGCCTTGCCTTGCCTGCGCTGCGCCGCCCACGCACGCCTTGCCTTGCCTGCGCTGCGCTGCCCGCGCGCGCAAACCCTAATTCTGCGCGCAGCCCGCTGCTACCCCGCGCGTCGCGTCCGCCGCCTGCGCAGCCCGCTGCTGCCCCGCGCGTCGCGCCCTACGGCAGCCCGCGACGCGCGCTGTTGCCCCGCGCGTCGCGCCCTACGGCAGCCCGCGCGTCGCGCGCTGCTGCCCCGCGCGTTACGCCCTACGACAGCCCGCTTGACGCGCGCTGCTGGCCTTCGCGTCGCGCCCTACGGCAGCCCGCGCGTCGCGCGCTGCTGGCCCGCGCGTCGCGCCCTACGGCAGCCCGCGCGTCGCGCGCTACTGCCCCGCGCGTCGCGCGCTACTGCAGCCAGCTCGTCGCGCCCTGCTGCCCTGCACGTTGCGCCCTACTGCAGCACGCGCGTCGCGCCATGTTTCCCTGCACAGCGCGCGGCCTGCTACCCGCGTAGTCCAGGCTGAGCCGAGCCGCCCTAACCGACCCGATCCGCCCTCCTGCTCGTGCTACTACTGCTGCTGGTGGAGGTGCTGCTAGGAGTGCTGGAGGTGCTGCAGCCTAGCCTCACCGGGCCGCTCTACTGCTCTTACTGCTGTTGCTGCTGCTCGTGCTGCTGTCTTCCCTCCGTACCGCCCTCCTCCTCGCGCGCCTCCTTGCTTACCCGCTATGACTTCCCTTCGTAGTAGTAGTGGGGGTGGTGGCGGCGGCGGTGGCAGCAGTGGGAGTGGTGTCGGCGACCATGGTTGCAGTCGCGGTGGAGCTGTTCAGTGCGGAGTTTCTGGCGGTGGCGAGATCCAGCTGCAGCGGCGTCCGAGCGAGACCCTTCCACCCCAGCAGCTTCATGCGTGGTACGCTCTCCGTTGTGCGTCTCGGAGAGGTGGCGGCGGCCGTAGTAGCAGTCGTGGTGGAGCTGGTCAGTGCGGAGTCTCTGGCGGTGGCCAGATGCAGCTGCAGCAGCGTCCGCGCGAGACCCTTACGCCCCGGCAGCTGCATGAGTGGTACGCTCAGAGTTGGGGGTGTAGGACTACTGCTCGCTGCCCGTACGTCATTCGCACAGGTGATCGAGCTGGTCAGACCTGCGGGACAGTTAGTCATACAGAGTCCCGCTGCTTCTCCCGTCTGAGCGACGCTTGGCGAGCACGGTTTGGCGACGAGACTGAGCTACCCCTCTGGCTAGAGCTGCTTAAGGGCGGAGTAGATGTATTTGCTTTAGACTATGACACTATCCTTACTGCCATGTATGCTTTGACTGGTACTTCTGAGGGTGACTGTTACCTGTGTGTGCCCCCTGACCCTGGTATAGCGGCTGCTGCTCTAGGTGCTAGTGAGTCTGCTCTCTCTGGTACTGCGCCTGCTGAGGCCTTGCACACCTTTACACTTGACTCTGGTGCTTCCCGCCCTGCATCTGTCCCTGTCTCACTGGCTGACCCCTCTGGGGGCCCAGTGCTTGCACGGTCTACCACTGTGCTTCCGTGTCTGACGGTCCCGTCTGGTGAGCTGTCTGGTCTCCATCTCCCCTCGTTCTCTACGAACTTGGTAAGCACCGCCGTCCTTCAGGATCACTGGGTTGACACCTTTACTCCTGGAGGACAGCGGGTGACACACTGCACGTGCTCTCGGACCGGCCGCCACCTGGCCACGTTCACACGTGCGCCTGGGTCCAGTCTGTACACCCTCACCACTGTGTCGCGTCACGCCACTTTGTCTCCTCAGCTGTACGCGTCTGCTCAGGTAGCTACCCAGTGTGAGTGTCGTCGCCTGTCGCACGACACTCTCCTGTGGCACCACCGCCTTGGTCACCCCTCCCTGCCTCGCCTTCGTGGCATGCACTCTCGCTCCCTGGTCTCTAGTCTTCCCAGGTCTCTGCCTGCCCTCCCTCCCTCGCCTGCGCCGCCCTGCATTCCTTGCGTCGAGGGGCGACAGCGCGCCGCTCCTCACTCCTCCTCGTTCCCTCCCACTGAGGCTCCACTGCAGACTCTCCACCTGGACGTGTGGGGCCCAGCCCGCGTCCAGGGACAGGGCCGCGAGCGGTACTTCCTGCTGGTTGTCGACGACTACACGTGTTACACCACGGTCTTCCCCTTGCAGCGCAAGGCGGATGCCCGTGCTGTCCTGATCCCTTCTATCCGCGTTGTTCAACTCCAGCTCCGCAAGCGGTTTGAGCGGGACTTTCTTGTCCTGTGTCTGCACTCTGACAGAGGTGGTGAGTTCACCTCCGACCTCTTGGCAGCCTTCTGTGCGGAGCACGGCATCCGCCAGTCGTTCACGCTTCCGGCCTCTCCGCAGCAGAATGGGGTTGCTGAGCGCCGCATTGGCTTAGTCATGGAGGTCGCTCGTACCTCCATGATCCATGCGGCGGCTCCCCATTTTCTGTGGCCGTTTGCGGTCCGGTACGCCGCGCATCAGCTCAACCTCTGGCCCCGTGTCTCCTTGCCGGAGACCTCGCCCACACTGCTGTGGACGGGGGAGGTTGGCGATGCGTCGCGTTTCCGGGTCTGGGTTGCTCGTGCCTTTGTCCGCGATCTCACCGCGGACAAGCTCTCTGCCCGCGCCATTCCCTGCGTCTTCCTTGGTTTTCCTCCTGACGCGCCTGGCTGGCAGTTTTACGACCCCACCTCGCGCCGTGTCTTTGCGTCTCAGGACGTCACCTTTGACGAGTCCGTCCCCTTTTACCGTCTCTTTCCCTACCGCACTACCCCTGCCCCCCCCCCCCGCCGCTCTTTCTCGCTCCAGGTCCTTCCCAGGTAGACCCCCTCCCCGCGCCAGGTCCTGCTCCTTCAGGTGTTTCTCAGGTAGACCCTCCTGTGCCTGCGCCTGTTGA